CGGGGCCGGAGGGGGGGAAGCTGGGGGAGCTGGTGGTGGCGGAGCCGCGGCGGCGGGAAAAGAAGCAGGAGGCGGCGGAGATGCCGCGCGTGGGGTTGTCGGCGATCGATTTGCAGTGGGTCCATGTCCTGAGCGAAGGATGGGCCAGCCCGCTCCGTGGGTTCATGAGAGAATCCGAGTTCCTCCAAACTCTTCATTTCAACTCGCTCCGTCTCGACGACGGCTCCATCGTCAACATGTCGGTGCCCATTGTTCTTGCCATTGACGACGAACAGAAGGCCCTGATCGGCGAGTCGACCCGGGTCGCGCTCGTCGACTCGGAGAATAACGCCATCGCTATCCTCAACGAGTAAGTTGATCCTGAACTCCCCTTCTGTTTTATTGTTTTCCCGGATTTAGATTCGAAGATGCGATTTTTTTTAAATGGGCTTTCATCAAAAGCTGAAATGCGAAAAGCTTATAAGAATTCTAGGAAGAAACTGGAAGAAGATTCAGTGATTGCAAACCTAAAAGATTCGTCTTTTCCAGCAAATGAGCGTCTTTACAAATCTGATATATATGGATTCAAGGAGTCGTGAATTCAGTATTTTGATTCGAATCTTTCTGGGTTTAGATCAAAATAAAACCTTTTACTCTGAGACTGAGCGATCATTAGGTTGAATCTGATGTATCCGAAACCTGTAACTTGTTTTGATGCATCTGTGTCTGGTCTGTAAGTTAGATGGTATGAGGAATCAAACAAAGGTTTTGAACATATGTTCTTGGAGAAGATTATTACCAGTGTTTAGTCTTGTGTCCTAGGTTGAAAAATGACAGCTTCCTCATTTGTTCAGCATTGAGATTTACAAGCATCCGAAAGAAGAAAGGATAGCCAGAACATGGGGAACCACCGCACCCGGATTGCCCTATGCGAAAGAGACCATCACCAAAGCCGGGAACTGGCTTATAGGCGGCGAACTCGAGGTTATTGAACCGATCAAGTACCAAGACGGTCTTGACCGCTTCAGACTTTCCCCGGCCGAGCTCCGTAAGGAATTCGAGAAACGTGGGGCGGATGCTGTATTCGCTTTCCAGCTCAGGAACCCTGTTCACAACGGCCATGCCCTCCTCATGACCGATACTCGTCGGAGGCTTCTCGAGATGGGATACAAGAACCCTATTCTTCTGCTTCATCCACTCGGAGGCTACACAAAGGCGGATGACGTTCCATTAAGTTGGCGAATGAGGCAACACGAGAAGGTACGGATGGAAATTGTTTGTTTTTCTTGCTAGTAGCTGCCATGGAGGAAGATCTGTAAGTACTTGAAGAGTTTATGGATCAACAGGTTCTAGAGGAAGGCGTTCTTGATCCGGAAACGACGGTGGTTTCGATATTCCCATCGCCTATGCACTATGCCGGTCCAACCGAGGTGCAATGGCACGCAAAGGCTCGGATCAATGCGGGTGCTAACTTCTACATCGTGGGCCGGGACCCAGCGGGGATGGGCCATCCGACGGAGAAACGGGATCTGTACGACGCTGACCACGGCAAGAAAGTTCTCAGCATGGCTCCTGGACTCGAACGGCTCAACATCCTTCCTTTCAGGGTATACAAAAACACATATACCCACCTCGATATTTCCCTTCAAAGATTGCTTCTTTTCCCATTTCGACGATGTCTGAATTCTGGGTTTTCGTGAACATATATATAGGTTGCTGCTTACGACAAGACGCAAGGAAAGATGGCTTTCTTTGATCCCTCGAGACCTCAGGATTTCTTGTTCATATCCGGCACTAAGGTACTTTCTCTCTCAGCAACAACCCCTGAAATGTTCTTTCCCCCATTGTAAACTCGTCTGGATTCTGACAAAAAGGGATGTTTTTTGTTTTTTTGCAGATGAGGACGTTGGCGAAGAACAAAGAGAACCCACCGGAGGGATTCATGTGCAATGGCGGCTGGGGAGGTCTGGGGGGATATTACGACAGCTTAACTCCCGCCGGCGATGGCAGACTCCCTCAAGCCGTTCCCGCTTAATATTCTGGGAGAAAGCCTTTGTTTGTTGTATAGGAAGGAAGAAACACAGCTTTTGTCATATTTTATATTCTTGGACCGGACCGGACCGGACCTCCCTTCATGAATAAACAGAGTTCGAATTCAAAGAAAAGTTTTTTTTGGATTGAATTCGAGGAATTTTGTGTTTTTCAGCTTCTTATCTGTTTAAAGTTGGATCCTTTGCCCTGACATTATCGGTTTCATCATCGAGTTCATGAGCACACGATGCAGAGAAAGGTCCAATCTTTTGCACTCCATGTTCAAATGTTATATATATATATATATACACAAAATAAAACAATCTTATTGATGACTTCTGAATTTATGAAATTGAATAAATGGCGAATGGATGATAACATCTGTAAGAAGAAAAATAAATAAATAATTTTATTATTTTTGCCGTTTCTCTCGAAAATAAAATAAAAAGGGACCTTCCCTTTTCTTTTACTTTACTGGAGGCTGTGAAAGGTTTTTTTTTTTTTGGATGAAACCGAGACTGAGGATGCGAAGCAACTAAACCCTAACCCTAAACTCGCCCACTGAATCGGCTCGAGCCTTGCGATCCCTTCTCCGCAGCGTCGCCGCTTTCCGTCGTCTGCTTATTCTCTTGTAATTCTTTGGGTAAGTCCTCACCTTGGGATCTCCATCTCTCTCTCTCTCTCTCACTCCTCTGTTAACGTCTAGTATTTCAGCTTTTTTCATGCCCGTCCTGATTTTGCTTGCTATGAAGGGATAATGCATGTCTGCATCAGTGTCTGTGTCGATTGATCGGTTATGTATCGCCTTTCATCATGCATGTGGATTGCGGATTGAAATCTCTGTCGTGAACGCTGGTCGTGTCGGTTCTGTTCGAGTTCATGTTCTGTCCAAGCCCTTTTCGCCCTCAGACAAGCTAATTTTGGTCGTATCATCGCCGAATGCCTGAAACATAGGATAGTTTTAAGCTATGTCTCCCTGAACGATTCCCTTTCGAAGTTTGAGAAAGTACATTTAACAAAAACAATGTCCCTGGTGTTGTAGATTGATGCTTTCTCAACAGACTGTAGCGTTTATCTGTTTTCTCTCTTTGACATTCTGGATTTGCCCCCTTAAGTTCATTCACCCTTGGATATTGAGTGATTACGAGAGGGACTTTGAAACTCCTGTGCGTCTAGCTCCATTGGAACATGATTGGGTTTGTCTGGTTATTCAATCTAGAGATTCCAGGAACTTGTTTCATCCTTTTCCCTCCATCATGCTACATATCTTGGAGAGTGTTTGAGTATTGAGTGTGTATTTTGCTTTAAGTATGTCAAATAACCGGGTTGCATCTGAGTAGCTTTTATTTCAGCGCATGCGGCATACCTTTAGTTCATTAGATTTGTGTGGATGGCATACTAGATCATTATCCGAAATCGATGTGAGTATAGAAATCTTTTCCTCTGTTGATTATACTATTGATGATGATGATGATGATGATGCATATACGTTATGTATATGCAGCACAAGTAAGAACTGGTTAACACTGCTCCCATGTTCATTTTGAATGTCAGGTACAAACCGGAAATGTACCTAAAAGTGGAGCTTCCATGGAACATAGCGATCCCAGCAGAAAATACAGACGCAAAAGGGCTCATGCTCCAGAGATCCATCATCATACGCCTTCTAGACGACTTTGCTTCCAAGAAAGCAACCAAGGAGCATGGTTATTTCATTGCGGTCACGAACTTGGAATCCATTGGGGAGGGAAGAATCAGAGAGAACACTGGAGAAGTTGTCTTCCCGATAGTTTTCAGTGGGATCACTTTCAAGATCTTCAGGGGAGAGGTCCTTAACGGGGTGGTTCACAAGGTGCTCAAGCACGGTGCCTTCTTGAAATGCGGTCCGGTCGAAAGCATCTACCTCTCCAGCTTGAAGATGCGGGGTTACACGTACCTCCCGGGCGAGAACCCGATCTTTGTGAATGATAAGATGCCCAAGGTTCAGGTTGGTGTCATGGTTCGGTTCATGGTGATCGGTACCAAGTGGATGGAGGCCGAGAGGGAGTTTCAGGCTTTGGCTAGCTTGGAAGGTGACTATCTTGGTCCGATCTCTGAGGATTAGCTCTCTCCATCCTAGGTTGTCTTGTACAGACATTAATGAAATGGATCTGTCCTTGTATTTGACACAAAGTCCTAACTTTTCAGCATGTATGGACTTCTTTTCTATATGTATCAATATTTCACAAGATCTGGAAAAAAACCCATCTCTTCTTTATAATGAAATATTAAAATTTTCAAACATTGAAATAAAAATAATTCATCTAAACAGTCTAATGCTCCATATGAATGTGTATTCTACTCCAGAAATATGTACAGATTCATGCTGTCTTGTTCCGTTTCAGGTAGCTGAAGAAGTGTCTCTCTGGAACCGGAATGAACTTCACCAGCCACCCGATCGGCCATGAGATGGACGCAATCGCCACACAGACTCCCCATTGGCCCCAAGTCAGCCTCTCCGTATCGGCAAACTTCTTCAAGAACTCGACCATTACCACCTGCAGAACAATGGTTGCGAAGATGATGCCGACGAACAGCTTGTTCTGGTGTATCCCCTTGAAGACGTTCTTCTTCTCGAGCTTCCTCGCGTTGAACTCGTTAAAGACCTGGCAGAGAACGAACGTGTTGAAGATTAATGTGTTCTTCACCTCCTCGGTTACTCCAAAGATGGATTTCCCTCTGAACTGGAATATCAACAGGATGGATATCTGGTAAAGAGCCTGAGCGAGCAGATTCCTCCACATGATGTTGGTGATGAGCGGCTCTGTTCTTCCAACCGGCGGGTTCTTCATGAGCTCGTTTGTGGGTTTCTCGGTGGCTAGAGCCAGTGCTCCGAGAGTATCCATGATCAGATTCACCCACAGTAGCTGGACTGCTGTCAAAGGGACCTCCCCGGCTGAAACCGCGGCCACGAAGTTGATCACAAGGGCTGCGACATTAACCGTGAGCTGAAACTGGATGAACTTTTGGATATTGTTGTAAACGCATCTTCCCCATTTGAGAACCGTTGCCACGGAAGCAAAGTTATCATCTAGGATGACGATATCTGAGCTCTCTTTAGCCACTTCCGTCCCTTGGATCCCCATTGACAGTCCTATATCGGCTTCTTTCAGAGCCGGTGCATCGTTTGTGCCATCACCCGTCACTGCCACGACATGGCCTTTCTCTTTAAGGCATTGGACCATCAAAAGCTTGTCGAAAGGCGAAGATCTTGCCATGACTTTGATCCTCTCCACCTTCTCTAGTCGTTCTTGGTGAGTGTAGTTCCTGAACTCCTCTCCTTCTACCACAGCTCCTTTCACTGCATCATCCATGGGTGTCAAGATCCCACATTCCGCAGCAATGGCTTTGGCAGTGAATATATTGTCCCCCGTTACCATCTTGATGCTTACACCCGCATATTGGCAGTCTTGCACCGCTTTTTTCACCCCAGGTCTGCACGGGTCCTTGATGCCCACGATCCCGAGTAAACTCAAGTTCTCTTCTTTCAGCTTCTTGTGTTCTATAACGTCATCTTGTTCTTCTTCCGGAATTTCTGCATATGCAAAGGCGATGCAGCGAAGGCTTTTAGCTGCCATGCCTTGGATAATCTGCTCGAGTTTGATCTGATCATCTGTTTCCATGATTTTCAGGTTTCCAGAAGCGTCGTAGAACTTGGAGCACATAGCAACGATCCTCTCAGCCGCTCCTTTCCAGTGAACATAAACCGAACGCTCGCCTTTCGTTCTCATCAGGAAACCACTCCTCTTCTTCTCCGAATTGAAGGCTTCGACCTGAAGAATGTCACATCCCTTTGTCACTTCGTCCATATCCATCTTCAGTTCTTCGACCGCCCAGCACAGTATCGCTTTTTCAGTTGGACTGCCGGAGAATTCATACTCGGATCCTGCAGCATTAGGTTTAAAGACGCTGCCTGTCGTGTTCATGGCGACCCCTTGACGGAAAAATCCAATGATTTTCTCTGACAGAGACAGGGAGGAACATTTCCCGCCGTCCAGACCGCACCAGAACTCTGTCACTTTCATCTGGTTCAGTGTCAATGTCCCTGTCTTGTCCGTGCATATAGTTGTTGCAGACCCCATGGTCTCACAAGCTGAGAGCTTCCTCACCATGGCTTGATCATTCATCATCCTCTTCATCGAATACGCCAGAGTCAGAGTCACGGCCAATGGCAATCCTTCCGGTATGGCGACCACGACTATTGTAACAGCCGACGCAATGATTCCGATCACGGAATTCACCACATCATCGGTCTTGGTTTTCCTTCCATTATACTCTCGGTTTCCATGTTCATCCTCGGTATTCCCAGTGAAATATCGAACCAAAAGGACTACGAGAACCAAGAATGCTACCGATAAACCGACTTTGCCTATCGACGATGTAAGCTTGTTGAGACGAGCCTGCAATGGAGTTTGTTCATCCGTGTCCCCGGAAATATGGCTCATCATCTGTCCCCAAGCCGTGTTCATCCCCACAGAGGTAACGAGCATTTTCCCGTATCCGTCAGCGATTTTAGTTCCTGAAAAGAGAAACGGGTTTTTGTCGATACTAACCTCGACATGATCGCTTTCTCCAGTCATGCTCGACTCATCCACCTGCAAGGAATGGCCTTCCACGAAAACTCCATCCGCAGGGACTTGGTCTCCGATCTTCAGACAGACAATGTCTCCGACAACAATGTCGAAGATGGAAATCTGCTGACGCCGCCCTTTCCTGATCACGTCGATCTTGATATCGCTGCTCACTTTGGACAGCTTATCGAACTGCCTGCTCTGTCTGAAATTGCTGACCGCAGAGACAGCCACTACGAGAAAAACCGCCACGAATATGCTTCCTCCATCATACCAACCTTCCTTCAGGCCATGTTTCTTGATGCCAAACCCTAGAGAGAGAGCAGCACAGCCCAGAAGAATCAAGATGGTAAGATCTTTGAAGGCTTCGACCACAAAGTACAGTAAGCTCTTGGGAGGAGGCCTCGGGTACGTATTCGACCCGAATGCCGAACGTCTACGTTCGATTTCCGCCTCGTTTTCTTCGATGCCGAGCCGGGCATGAGTCTCGAGGGCCGAGGCCAAGCCACTCGGGCCGCCGAGGGCTCGGAGTTTGTCCCCGTTCTTGTTCTTGACGAGATCTTCGAGGGTTTCGCGCTGGACTTTGAAGCCATGATCATGGCCATGGTCATGGTCAAGGTCTAGATCAATGGCGGTGTAGGAGAGGGGAGGAGGATGGAAACCTCGGTTTCGAATGGCGGGTTTGGCGCAATGGAGGAGGGTTCTTGAGCAGTAGATCTTGAGGAAGGCCAAGTGCCATTTCTTGTTGGGTTCGCTCAGCGTTTTGGGGATTCTGAGAAGAAACTCAGCGCAGAGTTTGTCGTTCTTTGCATGGGAACCCATCGACATGTCTTCTTCTTCTGGTTCAGTTAAACCGAAATTTACTAAACCGGAACTCTGAGAACCGGAAATCAGCCGAAACTATTTTGTGAAAGCGACGTAGGGGATTAACGAATATCGGAAGAAACTGAATGAAAGACAATGGTGAAAATCTCCGCCGTCTTTATACGATGTTTATGTCGGTCCAAGAGGAAACTACCGAGCAATACACGAGAAAATGCGTGTACCCAATGTGGTTTACCTAAAATCCTTAAATAAATAGCCGTTACGTTTAGGAAACATTATTTAGAAAAAAAAAATATATATTCTTTTTGGGTGTTTTTCTTGTTTTATGCGTTATGAATTTATGGAAGGTGGAAATTTCTTAGAAGCTGCTGCTCTAAATAAGTGCATCACGCGCCTTCTGTTGTATTTTATGTTTAAGGAATATAATTTTGTATTTTTTTGAAAAAAAAAAGGTAAGGAATATAATTTTTCGTCTGTGAATTCAATTCAGATTTTGGTCAATTTTTAAACGTACCACGGTCAATTTGCTCCTAGGTCGCATAATGGTGCACACGTAAAGGACCAGGCTTTTTTTCCCAATATTATAATTATTTTATTTAATATTTTGTGTGTGTATATATATATATATAATATTGTTAGAAGTCGGGCGATGGGTTTGATACGATGTTAGTTGTCGGATACCGACACGGTCGCGGAGTGGTTGCAATTAAGAAAACCATCAAATGGCTCCAAAATCAATTAATTAATAACTTAGCATAGTGAACAAACGGCATTGAGAGCGATTACGGTGTGAAATTCGTTCTACAAAATTGTGTGAAATGAAATAAATTCAACTTTATCTCTATTTTGATATAAATATATGAGATAAGTTCACATAATCTTATCCAATTAAAATACGTAAACATGGGTTCAAGGATTCATCGCAAGCCATATCTCTAATTTGCTAAATTATATCCAATGCATTATAATATTGATTCCTATGTATGGACCGACCTATATATGTCTATTTAGACCTATATGTACATTGTTGAATTCTCTCTAAACTTAGAGATCGCATGACATATAAAAATAGACGTTATAACTATAACTTCCTCATGGTTCTAATCCATAATTTGAATACAAGAATCTTTTGTTCCAATAAAATTTTAGATGAAAATCTCTCCTTGTTATATTTATCATTTGCATTTCATAATTAGTATGTAATCTCCTAAATTATACTCCCACCAATTTTGTGGAAATTGTAGCCAAAAGATTTGCAGTTGGGATTAGATTCAACAAATAAATTATTTTTTTTATCCACACGACTTTGGAATATATTTTTATATATTCCTTTACGTCGACCGTAGGAAAATAAGAGATTTTTTATTTAATTCAACTTTCCAATAAATTTTATCTTGTTTTAAATACTACCTTTAATGACTTTTCTACTATAGAAGATTATCTTTCTTTTTGTCCCCCGTTATATATAAATATAATATTATATAGCTCTAATCGTTACACCTCACTTCGAAAAAAAATCAGAAACCATTAAAAGGAAATAAATCTTGATTCACATAAAAAAAAAAAGATAAATATGAAATCCGATAGATGTCAAAGCTTTTCTATTTTTCATATTTCGGTTTGAAAAAATACTATAGAAATAAACATTCCATATACTACAACCAAATAATATTTATAAAGATTAAAGGTCGAATTCTTTTTTTTTTTTATGAAAGGTCGAATTCTTATTTGAATTGAATCCATGCTTTTAAGAGCTCTCTATTTTGATCATAAAATTCATTTCTTTTCTTCAAAATAAATTCATAAATTTTTTTTAATAAGATTTGATCATGGGTTGTAAGCACTTTGTGCAACCCAATCTCACTTAGGTTAAATAAACTCATATTTGGATAACACGTTAACAAAAAAAAAATTACAGCCTTTACCAAAAATAAATTCAGATAAATTACAGCCTTTACCAAAAAATAAAATAAAATAAACAATAAATTCAGATAAAAAATTTTGACGTCATCATGCTAACGTCCCTTGAGAAACTATGTGCATGCATCCAAGACAACGCTGTAAATAGCCGTTGGAAAACATATAGACGTTGTTTACAATAATAATGTTGGGAGTCTTTATAAAAAAAAGACCAAAGTCTTTGGATTACAAAAAAAGAAAAAGACCAAAGTCTTTTGTTAAGTCAAGTCAGTTTTTATCCTACACGTCTTTGGAAAATTGATTCTCAATATGTAAACCAATTGAAGGGAACATATCAAGTAGGATGTCACGCGAGCCAACTCGAATTAATTCGGATTAACTCGTTTTGAGCTACCTCATTTTCAGCCCAACTCGTTAAGTCTATTTTTATTTAGGCTAGAAAATTTCTGGCTCAACCCAAATCTTTTAGTTCGCGAGCCGGCTCCTGAGCCGACTCATAGTTTTCTAAATACCTAAAAAAAATCATATCCAAATGATATATCAACATAAAAAGAATATACCAATATATCTAAATCATATTTATATTCACAATCACAATCCATATACAAAAACTAATTTTCAAATAGAAAAAATCACAATCCATCTATGTACAAAAAATCATTTTCATATCCTAATTCATTCATGTACAATTAGATCTTAATCCACGTACAAAAAACCATCTTCAGATCCGAATCCATACATAAAAAATTATCTCTAAATCAAAATATCATACCAACAATATCAACACTTTTCAAGTTTCAATGTAAGATTTTTTTTACTTCAGCTCCCGAACCAGTTCGCGAACTAGTCAAACTAGCTCGTTTGGACTCGGCTCGTGGTGAGCAGCCCCACTCAGCCCATTTTTATTTGGGTTCAGATATTCTTGGTTCGATTCGGTAAAAAAGGAGCCAACCTCGAGCCGGCTTGCGAGCTTGACTCGTTTTGACATCCCTAAATCAAGATTTTTATATAAGGGGTGTCAATTGGACCGATCTGATCTGAACCCGCATTTGGACCGAAGATTTCGAGTTCGAGTTCAGACTGACCTGACTTTTTTTTAACCTTTGAAGTTAAGTGCGAAGTCCGACTCTTATATATTTTAGACTCGGATCAGATCGGGTGGGATCAAACCGACTCACATAATTTTCTTTGTAAATGTTATTATTATTATTTTTAAGGGTAAATCCCCTAAAAAACCTTCAACTTGCAAAAATATATACAAATAAACCTTCAACTTGAAAAACTGTCATTCAATCCCCGAACTTGTAACTTGTCACAGAATAAAACCTCGAACTTGCAAATTAGTGTTCTAATAAACCTTTGACCGGTTTGACCACAATTTCAAACGATCGGAAATCAACGTATTGACAGATTGCTGATGTCATTTTTTAAATTAAAATTGATAACGTGTATAAGGTGACATCAACAATCCGTTAATACGTGGATTTCTGATCGCATGAAATTGTGGTCAAACCGGTCAAAGGTTTATTAGAGTAATAATTTGCAAGTTCGAGGTTTTATTCAGTGACAAGTTACAAGTTCGGGGATTGAATGATAGTTTTTCAAGTTGAAGGTTTATTTGTATATATTTTTGCAAGTTGAAGGTTTTTTAGGAATTTTACCCTATTTTTAAACATCGAATTTTCGAACTGGTCCTCGGCAGCCGATATCATATTTTTCTAAGTATCTAAAAAACCATATCAAATTATACAAAACCATATCCAAATGATATATCAACATAAAAAGAACATATTAGTATATCCAAATCATATTTATATTCACAATCACAATCCATATAAAAAAATCATATCCAAATAAATCATATCACAATCCATCTATGTACAAAAAACTATCTTCAGATCTTAATCCATCTATTTATAATCAGATCTTAATCTATGTACAAAAAACCATATTTAGATTCTAATGTATGTACAAAAAAATTATCTCCAAATCAAAATATCATAGCAATCAATATCAATACGTTCAAGTTTCAACGTAAAAAATCTTAATTTTTTTTAAGCCAGCCCATGAGTTGACCGAGCTAGCTCGTTTGGACTCGACTCGTGGCGAGCTGCCTCACTCAAGCCGTTTTTTATTCGGATTCATATATTTTTACCTCGACTCGGTAAAAAAGGAACCAACCTCGAGTTGGCTCGCGAACTCGGCTTAGACATCCGGAGTGGGTTCATTTATAAAATTTTTATTCAAACACTTTTTAAAATTAATAATCAAATTATCATTAAAATATAGAATTTTTTTAAATATTAATACATGGTCATCACCATAATTATGTAATATGTATGTACGTATGTATACCCATTGTTTGACCAAAAGTCGAAATTAGAGGGAAAACCAGTTAAAATGGACCAAAAAAAAGTATACATTCATTAACACCTATTTATCTATTGTTTGCATGCTCATATGTATTAAGTATTTCACAGTTGGTTTTTTATTTAACTTAAAATCTGTCAAAAGTTTCTAAATACAGAAGATACACTTGTAATTACAAGAATACATGAATTGTTATAATTAAGATTGAATAATTTCAAGTTGAAATATGTTTCTTTAGACTATAAAACTAATAATTTATACAAAAAATATATAGTTTGCTTTTAGATAATTTATTCAAAATAAGGGAGAAACTATATTGTTAAAGAACAAAGGAACACATTGCGGCACAAAAGCAATTTGATGAATCATTACATCAACCGAATGATCTCCACAATTATATTAAAATGTACTAAAAATGGGAAACATATTAAAACCCACATATTTGACTATTAGAAATAAATAAATAATTAAAAAAATTATTGTCTCTAATTGTATATTAGTATTTCGTAATGAGTTAAGCCTAAGGGGCTAATGGACATTAAAAGAAAATTTTATGTCCGAACTAAAAGCAAAAGAAGATGCTCTGAAAAATGATGAAATCTCTGACCCATTTGGTCCATTAAAAGACCATACATACATACATACATACATACATACATACATACATACATACATACATACATACATACATATACATACATTAAAAATGGAGGAGCATAAGACTTTAACACCAAGAAAACTTAGACCCACCAATTGAGCCTTCTATTATCTATAACTCAAATCATTTCACACCCATTTTATTGAATTTAGCATTAAATATGCATTCTATGACCACCTTGTTCCTATTAATCAAGAAATTGATTATAGAAACAACAATAGTTAAATCTAAAAGTTGCAGCTCATTATATGTAGATGGTCCAAGTTCCAATGCGAATTGCCGAATTGAACTTTTGAAATTCAATGTATGAAAAAAAAAATAAAGATCATATGAGAACATAATGTTGCATAGGTCCCAACAAGAAACGCCAGCTAATTGGCAATTAATCAATCACTAAGAACAACAACAACATCATCATCATCATCATCATCATCATCATCATCATCATCTAATCTATAACCCCAAACATTCCCTGCTTTAAGCAAGACAACACAAACAGTGGTTTATCACCACCCAAAGAGGAAGAACTAAAAAAAACCCAAAACCCTAAAATTGTGAAATCTTCAGAGATTTGAGAATCTAAGCTTCATTGTATTGCCTATGAATTAAGATGGGAAACAACAACACTACCGTTTTGCATGGTACGCTGAATTTCTCTTAATTTTTTTTTCTGTTGATGTTTTTTTATTTAATCATAACGAATTTGCTGGAATATTTTCCATCTGTGGAATGAAACCACAGAGGAAGAGAGCTGGAAGCTCGAAAACAAGGGAGAATCTCAGGACCAAGTGTTGCTTGCTGATGAAAAGGAAAAGGGTTTTGTTGCTGCTGGTGATCCTGATTCACTTGCCAATGGTAACATAACTGGTAAATTATGCATAAATACAGTCTGTGTTCGGGTTTGCAAAAGGGTATCATCAAGTTTTGATCTTTTGCATTTGCATCTTGTGAATCAAGAAAAAGATCAAGAAATGTTTACAGGTTAACCAAAAATAATAATAATAAATCCCTTTGAATTCCTTCTGTAGGGA